ATTTGGTAGCCCAGGCTGGCCTCGAACTCACAGAGATCCGCCTGGCTCTGCCTCCCGAGTGCTGGGATTAAAGGCGTGCGCCACCACCGCCCGGCTTACACTAGACTTTCTTGATGTCTCCTGAACAATCCAGGTCTTAAGGATTTGAACTTGCTGGTTGCTTAATTAGAGTGACCGCCTCTTCACTATCACACTGCTAGCTCATTCATTCATTTTCTTTAAACATTTCCTTAAAAGCCACCTATGGGCAGGGCGGTGGTGGCACACGCCTTTAATCCCAGCACTTGGGAGAGGCAGAGCCAGGTAGATCTTTGTGAGTTTGAGGCCAGCCTGGTCTACAGAGCAAGATCCAGGAAAGATGCAAAGCTACACAGAGAAACCCTGTCTCAGGGGGGAAAAAGCTGGAGAAATGGCTCAGGGGTTAAGAGCACTGGCTGCTCTTCCAGAGGACCTGGGTTCTTTCTCAGCACTCACATGCTGGCTAACAGCTGTTCCTAACACCAGATCCAAGGGACCCAACACCCTTCTCTGCGGCCTCCACAGACAATTCATGCACATGGTGCGCAGACATACAGGCAAGCAAAACAACCATACACATAACATAAAAATAAAGTCCCCACTCTCCATTTTTTAAGAAGCCATCTATGTAAGGAGTCTGCCTTGACCACTCATTCTAAATCTCCGCCTCTCCCAACACTTCACATCCTACATTCTTGCTTCACTCTCTGCCTCCGAGGTACCCTCTAATGCTCTGTAAGTCTGACTTCCTGACTCACTCCCACTCTCCCTCCCTTCCTTTCTCCCTCCTTTCTCTCCTCTCTTGTTTTTTGAGACATGCTCTTCTTGCGTAGCCTTGGATGGCCTGTAATTCACCTTGTAGACCAGAAGCCCCCTACTTCAGCCTCTAGAATGCTGGGATTAAGGGCATGAGTCATAATGTCCTGCTATAAATCTGACTTTTCAATTGTGTGTTCTGTTTTTGTCCACCAGAACGAAGCTCCTTGGGGAAGGGGATACTTAGAAGTTTTGTTCAGATTTTATGTATCCCTGTGTCTTAGCCAGGGTTTCTAGTACGGGGACAAAACACCATGACCATAAGGCAAGCTCGGGAGGAAAGGGTTTATTTGGCTTACGCTTCCAAATTGCTGTTCATCTCTGAAGGAAGCCAGGACAGGAATGCAAGCAAAGCAGAACCTTGGAGGCAGGAGCTGATGCAGAGGCTATGGAGGGATGCTGCTTACTTCCTATGGCTCACTCAGCCTGCTTTGTTATAGAACTCAGGACCACCAGCCCAGGGACGGCCCCACCCACAATAGGCCGAGCCCTCCCTCCCCATGGATCATTACTTGAGAAAATGTCTTACAGCTGGGTCTTATGGAAGCATTTCCTCAACTGAGGCTCCTTCCTATCTGACGACTCTAGCTTGTGTCAAGTTGACACAAAACCAGCTAGTGCACCCTCGTAGTATTGGCACACAGTAGGCACTCAATTAATTTTGGTTCAGTAAAATTATCAGAATATTCTCTTCCTAAGAAAACCAATAATAAAAGATAAAGGGGGAAAAGTTGTTTAAAGTAAACCTACTTATCAAAAAATATAACTTTTAATTCCAAGTACTTCCTTGTGCGTGTCTCCTTGATCCTCAAATATCTTTGCCATTCCCATAAGAGTACAGGCTCTGGGAGAGCAGGTCAGTTTGGTTTCCCTCAGTGGATTTTCCTGATGTTTAGGATAGAGACTTGTTCATCTTAAACTGTTAGTCAACAAACCCTGGCTGAGTACTGAACAACAGGCCTTATGCATATTGTTTTTACATGTTGGAGTCATAGAAACATGCTTTTTGAACTGACTTTTTCTCGCTTGCAGTTTCCAATGTGCACATTTCTGGGGTCCATACTTTCCATGCACTGACGATAGGAAGAAATCCCAGTGAAGGCCTCCAGGCTACTGTTCCATTTCCCAAATGACTTACTGAAAATGTTTAATATTAACTAGTATTTCTGCTACACTGATTTTGTCCCTTGGGGTCATTATTGTGACGTATTACCTTTAAAACTGTACTACCTCTAAAGATCCCAATAGCCCTTTTATAAGCTCTCATTTTTTATGCCGGAGCAGCACAAAGAAGTTTCAGGTTCACTAGGGATGCAAGTCCTGATATGCTGAGCACAGAGCATCCTTATGGAAGCACATGGAGCTTTATATAACCTCACCCCCCCAGCTTCTGCTTCTGGAAAAACCCCAGTACATGGCATGGCACAAACCTTCAGAGCATCACTCAGGACCATGCAATGGAAATATTCAGTCCCTGAAGAGAGTCTGATCAAATCCTCTAACACCAAAGCAAGTCTCCAAATGACTTGGGGAGTTGACGACCCCTGGTCCTAGGGATGCTGATTTTCGTAAATGAATTTGTAATGGCGTCTAGCCACACTAACTTATTTGCTTATTGTTTGTGGCTGCTATGAGCTATGACTGCAGAGTGGAATGTCTCCAACAGCAACCTTATGATCCACATACCCTAAAAATATTTACAATTTGTCTCTTTGCAGAGGAATCCTGCCAATCCATACTCCACCATGCAACATAGGGTAACAAGAGACCACCAAAGTTTTTCACATTTATCTGTCACAAGCAGGATCTTTTTGACTAAGTATTAAGAAAACTTTGAAGGATTTGGGAACATAGAAGAAGACTTTAACTCAGTAAACTAAAGCATTTAAATTAATTAACTTTTTTTTTTTTTTTTTTTTTTTTTTTTTTTTTTTTTTTTTGATTTTTCAAGACAGTGTATGTAGCTTTGCGTTTTTCCTGGATCTCGCGCTGTAGACCAGGCTGGCCTCGAACTCATAAAGATCTGCCTGCCTTTGCATCCCGAGTGCTAGGATTAAAGGTGTGTGCCACCACTGCCCAGCACATTTAAATTAATTTAGAAAAGTTAGTGGTAAAAGGTAAAATGAGGAATCATAAAATTTAGAAGTTATGTGAAAAACCATAGTGATTGTGAATGCATTCTACAAGGGCCTCTTTACTGTGTGCATCTTACCAGACAGAGGACTTTAAAAGATGATTAGCTCATGGACCCAGTGAAGGAATGGGTGTACATAACACTGGGAAGAAAGGGGAGCCTGTGATAAACTAGGTTGATTAGTTGAAACAAGGGGCATAAGGAGATAAAGAGTCGCCATCCATTGGTCCTCTGTGTCTGCCAAATCAAATTAAGCATGCTAACAGAAAAGCTGAACTAATGGGCACTCATTCATACATGCCAGAATCATACACAGAAGGTGAGCACAAGATGGCCCCTGTGGTGAACCTGGGTGGGCAGTGACTAAACCAGAAGCTTGCCAGGCCAGCCGAACACTAATAAGAACATATCACCATTTCTGCAGTCTGTGAGAGCAGCTCAGCTGAGCATGAACCAGGGGAATTTGTAAGAATGAGCACTTTCAGAAACAAATCCGTCCTCTGGGAAACGGGGAGCTGGTGAAGCACTAAGCAAGAGGAGGGCAGACCGGCACTGAAGCCAGTAGGTAGGGAGCTGAAGGGGAATTTTGGCAAGAGACAACATGGAGGCAGCCAGGGAGGCTGAGGCCATCAGAACACTGAGGAAGAGGTTCAAGAACAAGGCTGATGTTCTCTGGGAAGACATTTGAATGCCCCATGGAATGATCTAGAGTCTAGAAGGTTTCTAAAATAGCTGCAGTATAGGCACATATGGCCAGATGAAAAGTGTTACCAGGTTTTTTGGTTTGTCTGTCTTATCATTAAAAGGGATAGGATTAAATATACAATGTGACTTGTCAGTGGTAATTTTAGCAGATTTTTAAGAGCCTGCTTAAGTGGATCCATTCTTAATGAATAAAACAAAACAAAACAAAACAAATTGTGCCTCTTTCTCTCTCAGCTCCCAAATATGTCCTCACCCCACACAGAGCTGTTGATTAGTACAGGCCATTCACATGCCCCAGCAAAGCTCTAAACTGGTAGCTCAGAAAGAGGCTATGCATCTGGTCCTTCCTCATGAACCTGGGATGTCTAGAAGACATAGAGATGGCAAAGAAATAGAAATACGATTTAAACACA